TTCAACAGTAAGAGAAGAAAGATGAGATTTGTTCAGTTTAAGCTCTTTCCCTTTGACCTGATTTCCTTAGAGACATAATTTGTTTTTATGTTCTCGGGCAGGATTTTCCTGTCAAACAGCCTGAACTAGATCAGAGGTATTTTGTGCCCTTTAATCCTGCCTATTTACCAGCAGTAATGATTGTGCTTCATTATAAATTAAAAGGTATTGACTGAGAAATGCCGATTATATATTTGGGCTGTGTTATTCAAAGTTGCTTTGAGTAGTTTGTCCTTTTTTTTAGGTAAGCATTTATAGGTGGTCAGTAAATAGAAAACTTGCAAGTTTAAAATTTGCCACTAGTCCATAAAATAATTAATTAAAAAACTATTGCTATAATTTATTCAGAATATCTTTTTGGTTGATTTTGTGCTTAAGAATAGAAATATAGAAATGAAATTAATAATGGACTTTTTCTTTTTTTTGGGGTGGGAATGTCTATTTTCTTATACTTAGATTATTTTTGTGAAGATTTAGGTGTGGTTACCAGTGCAGTTTTCCATGGAATTTATGACTGATCTCTATGAACATTTACAATATTCCCAGTGGAGAAAAATCTACATTAATTCTTTTTTTCCCCCCTGTAATTCTATCTAGTTAGAAAATACAACGATCACACAAAAATATATTACCTAAACATGCCAAACCCCAAACTCTGCCACTGAGTCAATTCGAGTCAGAGTGACCCTATAGAACAGTGTAATTGATCCTCCTGTGCGTTTTCAAGGCTATAAATCTTAATGGGATCAGAAAGCGTCATCTTTCTCCTGAGGAGCGGTTTATGGGTAATAGAACTGCCTTTGGCTAAACAGAAACTAATCTATTGTGGGTGTATTAAAATTGAGAAACTCTTTATTCTCACCTTTAGCTGCTCTTCTGTTAAATGTGAAAGCTGTATGAGAATCCTTTAATTCAAGTCAATATGATTTCATTAGTTTCTTAGTAGTTTTTACCTCAGATAGTAATTCTTTTTTTTTTTT